ATCCAATCATCAGATTCTGAGCTATTATAAACGATCATCTGGAAATGTGTCTTGAATCGCGACGAAGCTACAATATGCGCCGAAATTCGCGGAGAAAAAAAAGTCCCTTATTAGCTTTTAAATAGAATTTCTTACTTAAGTGAGGTCTCAGGAGTAAGTGATATGGAAATTAACCACAAGCTGCTCGCTCACATCAGAGTGCTGATTCTTGCGCGGCTATCATTCGATCCATCTATCTAACCCACTCGGAAGAGTCGATTTAAGTGGTGTGCTTTTTGCAGTCGACCTTCGACGCTCGAATAACATTAGTCATATCTTGGAGAAGCAAGACTAGTCCGGTTCAAAAAGAGTCCACATACATGAGGCTTTTTGGAGCGCTATCGAACTTGTCTACGTATTCAATCATCCTCAGGTCTCGTACCATTACCTCAACCTAGAGCTACATATTAGGCATCAGCAGCAATATTTTTTGATCAGCAAAAAGCCTGTTTACGGAGGGCTGCAAAAGATAACTCAATTTGCTACAGATAGAAAGTATGCGTCATACAGTCTGGAAACCTTACATACGAACGCAAATTTTGTCCTGTTTAAAAAACACACAGGAATTTGTAAAATATCTGAAGATGAGAAAACCGTATTTGAAAACGAAGGCTGAAGGAGGCATGCTTACCGTAACTTATTTCTAGGAAACGTGATTGAGTTACTTCGACGAGAAAAATAAATGGGAACGTTTATATTACTTAAGCAACCACTATTTTTATAGGAGATATGCGCGCGACTGGGAGAACAAGCAAAAATTCAGCATGCTGCCATCTGTGAGAGAACTTGTGCTCGGGTTTTATGCTAATCCGTATGGAGGCTTTATTAATCCTTTCTGCACAAAAGCTTAATTAAAAATTGACATCGACGAACCCTGGTGCATATCGCTTTCCATTTTTACCTAAAGAGAAAAGTAAAAGAAGCTCTACGACAGTGAATTTGTTTATTGAAGGTCCTCCGATTAACAATGGAATTTCGGAGCACAGTAATCAGTGACTTGTGACTCCAATCTGTCCTAAGCCTTTAAGGACCTGTCTAGGCACGTCACTTTGGCAGTTTGAAAGGTAGTTAATGCCACCCACAAATTGATTATTATTGCTCTTAGTTTTCATCTAAATGCTTGGGCTGACGCACAGTCACTGAAACGAAATATAGTGAGCAGAAAATCTATCCGTGCGTTGAGTGCCATTTCTCCTATGCTGGTCGCTCAGTTAATACGACAGCATCAAACTTCAAAAAACCAGATTTATTATCTGCCAATCGCTCAGAAAGAAAAAATGAAAGATCATTACTTATTTGAAGTCTCTAATAAATGCAAATTTGTATAAAAAGGGTCGACTAATTCTCGTTAGTTTATCAACTTTTCATGTGGATAAATAACTGCTGGTTTGCTTGTCTGTTTTCTGAGTTCTAAACGCTAATTTCTAACGCAATTTTCATCTGAATAATCTATTTAAAATGTTTCATGTCGATCTTATTGGGCTTTTTCTTAATAGTTAACAAATAACTTCAACTGGATATATTTTACACTTTTTGTTTACGACAACGATGTTTCCCCTGTTTTTGCTTCAGGCTTGCGCTCAATTATCTTGTTAGACGAAGGACAAAATCAAAGAAACTCTAGAAATCCAGATGAACCAACCTTGAGTGAAGAATTTGAAGAAAGAATGAAAGAAAATGGCTTTTCCTGTCTCGTTGATATTGTGGAGCTTTGCAAGGCGGTTATTCATAGGCTATGGCCTGATCACCCCCTTGCATCAATTCGGCAGCTCCCAGGCATTGGAAAGGTTTTCGCGGACCGACTGTGTTCTTCTGGTATCACGAGTATAGCTGGAATCGAAAAGTCAGGTTCTAGAAAAATTGAAGAGGTATATGGTATTGCTTCGCTTACTTTCTTCGTTCATGCATGACTTGCTCATTCCTTGACGTATAACACCTCGCGTCTTGGTTTTCCAAAGTTCGCTTCAGATATTTTATCACAAGTCTATTTAACGCACCTGATGATATTTATGTCACAAGTGCATTGAAAGGTATTTTCTTAACAGGGCGGAATTTC